AAAATCTTGGTGAGATTGTAAGGTCCTAACCTCTCATATCTTATAGTATAGCCTGTGGCAGAAAGCAGATGCTATTGAGGGAGACGGACACACACACACACAAAGACAGAAAAAGAAAAAAAAAAGAGAAGGAAGGGAAGGGGGGGAGGAAGGAAAGAAAAAAGAAAGAAAAAAGAAAGAACAAAGAAAGAAGAGGATGAAAAAGTGAAAGGAAGGAAGAAAAAGAAAGGGATGGGGGAAAGAAAGAAAAAGAAAGGCATGGAGGAAAAGAGAAAAGGAAGGAAGGAAGGAAGAGAGAAAAAAAGAAAAAGGAAGGAAAGAAGAAAGAAAGAAAGAAAGAAAGAAAGAAAAAGAAAGGAGGGAGGCAGGGAAAGAAAAGGAAGGAAGGCAGGAAGGAAGGAAGAGAGAAAGAAAGAAAGAAAGAAAAAGTATGTAGATCCCTAACTTGTCATATAATCAGCCTGACTCAGGATAGTAAGATTCTAACCTAGTTTATTTGAGAGACCCCAGTTTGGGGGAAAATGTTTATAAGAATAGTCACATACCCAACAACTGGAAAAACAATTGAGAATTTAGTTCATTTTATAATTTTAATGGTTTCAAGTATCCCACGTTCTCGAAGATACGAGGGCAAAGTCTTAAAATGCTTATAACTTTTTTACTAACGATGAAGTTAACCATTGTTTACTCAACCCAGTCTGCACAGACAGGCTTGCCTAAGAAGCAAGCCAAAAAGGTGGCTTCGATTTTTGAGGTTGTGCAAAATCCAGTTACAGGAATTGCAGGAAGATAAGGACAAACAGAAGTGACCCCATAATTCTTTTCCCAATTTAAATCCGTCTTCAGGACAGATGATAGCGGATATATCCTTTGGCAAGGCGGTTCCTTTGAACTGAAGCTGGTTCCCAATACGTTTTGCAAATGTTTGACTAGATTCACCCACCAAGCTTCAATTAGTTTATAAATAAACTGTGGGGTGGGATTGTATTTGCGCAAAACACAAGCCTTTGAAATTTACAAATCAAAGGCTTTATATTTCGTTGCCAGGCATAAGGTGGAGTGTTTGAATTTGGCTTGGCATGATTCGTAAGCAGAATATCCACTTTCCCCCTTTCTCTTAAGAGGATTCTGTTCCTTTGGCTGGGACTTTTTGTAAATGCCTTTTAATGCTGTGCCTTTTGAATATCCGTGGAGTAAGCTGCCATTCGTGGCATAGGTGATTTGCCTGTGCAATGACTGTTTAGAGCTAATCCTCTTTCAAATAAAGCTTAAAGATGCGAATTATATATAGAAATGTAGAGTTTTTTTATTGGCCAAGTGTGATTAGATACACAGGGAATTCTTTTCCTGTGCCTAAGCTCTCAATTAATTTATTGCAGTGTTTCTCAACCTTGGCAACTTGAAGATGTCCGGATTTCAACTCCCAGAATTCCCCAGCCAGCGAATGCTGGCTGGGGAATTCTGGGAATTGAAGTCCGGACATCTTCAAGTTGCCAAGGTTGAGAAACACTGATTTATTGTATAAATTGTTGTATATTGTTGTATTAATTTTAACACAGCAATAGTGATCAGCAACAAAGTTATAGTCACAAGAAGATAAGGAGAGAGGTAAATTCTGAGTGTTATAGCTGTTGTCGGTTTTCAGTTAAGCAATTTGTCCTGGCTTCTAACTGCATGGCTAATGACTCAGTTATCCGACAAGCCCTTTTTAATCTGGCCATTAAAAATGGTTGCAAGGCCTCTGACTGGGTTTGTAGCCATTTTGCCTTCCACATTCCTATCTAGGAACAAGATCTGTTTCTGACGAGGCAAAATACAGGTAGTCCTCGACTTACAACCACTCATTTAGCGACATTCGAAGTTACCACGGCATTGTAAAAAGTGACTTACGATCCGTTTTCACACTTATGACTGTTGCAAGGTCCCCGTGATCAGGTGGTCCAAATTTGGACGTTCGGCAACTCGTTTGCATTTACGACGGTTGCAATGTCCTGGATTCGTTTTGTGAACTTCTGACAACCAAAATCAACGGGGAAGGTGGAGTCACTTAACAATCCTGTTACTAACCGAATAACCGCAGTGATTCACTTAACTGTGGCAAGAAATGTCACGAAAAGAGGGGGGAAATTCATTTCTCGTTTAGGGATGGAAATTTTGGGCTCAATTCTGGTGGTAAGTCAAGGGCCAGCTGACTGCTTATTCTGAATTGCTGCCAATTGTGACTTGAGAAACTTTTGTACCCTGGAGACAGAGTTAGGCAGGCTTCTGGGATTTTGTTGGCAAGCTCCCTTACGGCACAGGAAATGGATCCTGTGTTAAATGACAACTGTAAACTAAAGGGATTTTCCTGACCTCCTGAGTTTCCAAGGGAGCAACGGAGAATTTTAAGGGACCGATTTCTCTCTGCGGTATTTGACTCGCTTGCAAACTTTCACCAGGTTGCCTAATTTGAGGACGCGCAATACAGATAATGGTGAATAAACCTGTATCTTTGTAAATAAACAGATTACAACATAAAGACATTGCGAAATATTAATCGGCCTCCGGTGATTTTTTTTTTTGTCCTAAAGGAAAACAAAGCCTGGAAAACAGATTGCAAAACTGGACCTTTTCACCAGTTGGAGAAACGGGCTGTGTGCCATGGAGATTCGAATTCAGAATAGAACTGGGAAAGGACCTTGGGAGGTTTTCCAATCCATCCCCTTACTCAAGCAGGAGACCCTATAATATTTGAAATATTTTCAATATTTGAAAGGAAGGAGAGGAGGTGATAAGAAAGGAGGGAAGGAAGGAGGGAAGGAAGCAGGGAAGGAGGAGGGAAGGAGAGAAGGAGAGAGAGATTGAGAGATTGAGAGTTTATTTATATGCCGCCCTTTTCCCTGGGGGGACTCAGGGCGGCTTACAACTCAAAGGGGGGGGGGAACAAACATTTAACACGTAAAACAATACATAATTAAAAGCACAACATTCATACCATTCGGGTGGGTTACAGAGAGAAGAAAGGGGGGAGGGAAGGAGGGAAGGGGGAAGGAGGAAAGGAAGGAGAGTAGGAGAGAAGAAAGGAGGGAAGGAAGGAAGGAGGGAAGGAAGGAAGAAGTAGGAATGTTGTAAAAATAAGATGGAGTTATGGGACAGTAAGAAAGCAATTTCAAGTATATTGTCAACTGTAGGGGGGAAAATTGTTATAAATACACATTATTAATAACAGTTATGAGATCACATAATTGTGAATGTATATATGAAATTAATAAAATTTTCAAAAGAAAAATTGAAACAAGTGGCTGTCCAATCTGTTAAAAACCTCCAGTGAGCACTCATGACTTCTGGTGGCAAGCGGTTCCACTGGTTAATTGTCCTCACTGTTAGGAAGTTTCTCCTTAACCGCAGGTTGCTTCTATCCTTGATTAATTTCCATCATTTGCTTCTTGTCCTGCCTTCAGGTGCCTTGGAGAATAGTTTGACTCCCTCTTCTTTGGGCCAAGCCTTCAAATATTGGAAGACTGCTATTATGTCACCCCTAGTCCTTCTTTTCACTGAACTAGACAATGCTCTGTTCCTGCAACTGTTAACACAATAACAGAGTTGGAAGGGACCTTGGAGGCCTTCTAGTCGAACCCCATGCTTGAGCAGGAGACCCTCTATAATTTTGGGCAAATGGCTGTCCAATCTTTTCTTAAAAACCTCCAGTGATGAACGTAACTGTATTTTTATTCTTAATTTTTAACTTTTTTGTAAGCCGCCCAGAGTCCCACGGGATTGGGCGGCATACAAATTTATTAAATTTCAATTTCAATTTATCTACAATTTCTAGAGGCAAGTAGTTCCACAGGTTAACTGTCCTCCCTGTTAGAAAGTTTCTCCTCAATTCCAGGCTGCTGCTCTCCTTGATTAGTTTCCATCTTTTGCTGCTTCTTCTACTTTCAGGTGCTTTGGAGGATAGGTGGATCCCCTCTTCTTTGTGGCTGTCCCCCAAATACTGCAATATTGCTATAATGTCACCCTGGGTCCTTTTTTCTCGACTGGCTATACCCCAAACCTCTTCACATGTCAGACATCACAATGGCTGCTTTACATTTCTTGCAGCCTCATGAAGACTTTGTTAACTATGGTGAACAACTTTGACTTCAGCTCCACAAAGGGAATGCTGGGAGTTCAAATCCACCCATGCTGGCTGGGGAATTCTGGGATCTGAAGTAGATAGGCCTTTAAAAAAAATATCTCCAAAGTTCAGCTTAGAATAACAGAGTTGGAAAGGACCTTGAAGATCTTCTAGTCCAACCCCCTGCTTAGGCAGGGAACCCTACACTTGGGGACTTTTAAGACTTGTGGACTTCAATTCCCAGAATTCCCCAGCCAGCCTGGCTGGCTGGGGAATTCTGGGAGTTGAAGTCCACAAGTCTTAAAAGTCTTCTCTGAACTCCCAGAGCAAATGAATTCAGGCCCAGGTTAACCAGGTTAAAGTTCAGTTTGCAAAACACTGGAAATGTGCTATGGGAGACGTCAGTTGCCCCTGTTAACAAAGCAGAAATCCGCCTCCTAAGGGCAAGTCAGCCATTTTGGGAGCGCCTCCTGTGCGATTATCAGCCTCCATGCAGGCAGACATCCAACAGGTACAGCTCGACCGACGATTTTTGCCGCCGTCCCGTGAACCACCCCTTCGCCTCCTCTTCTTCGGCCTCCTTCGCTTCCTTCCCATCTTTTCCCTCCTCTCCAGCCTTCAAACGACTTTTCGGCGAGTTTTCCAAGCAGGCGTTTGCCAAGGCCACCCCGCAATCTTTTTTCGCCCCGCCGGTTGCTAAGAAACCTGCGGCCTGACAGAAGGAGCCCCGTCGCCGTCGCGGGCTGCCAAAGCGTCACTTCCGGCGGTGGCTCCGGAAGCGGCGAATGCGCTTGGTCACGGACTTGGAAGCGGCGCTCATTGAGAGAAGCTCCGTGCTCGTTTCGCTCTTTTCTCCGCTCCGGGAGCGCCGAGCCGGCCCGGACCTCCACGCGACGGCGCCATGATCACCTCAGCCGGTAAGCGAGGCCTGGGCAGGCCGGAGGGAAGGTCGGGATGGTTTCCGCTGAGTCAGGCAGGGCCCCGAAGGGAGGATTTAACGGGGCGCCCAATCTTGGCTTCTTTAAGGCTTGTGGGCTTCCACTCCCAGAATTCCTCAGCCAGGTTGGACACCTCTGGATCAGAGGAAAAGCCCATCTGAGAGGCAGCTGGACTTCGTAAACTCGCAGGATTTCGGTTTTTTTTCCTCGCCATGGATATGTGATAAGAGTAGGAATAGAATAGAGTAAGTAGGAATAAAGTAAAATAGAGTAAGTAAGAGTAGAGTAGGAATACAGTAGAGTAGAGTAAGTAGGAGTAGAGTAGGAGTAGAATAGAGTAGAGTAAGTAGGAATAGAGTAGAGTAAGTAAGAGTAGAGTAGGAATACAGTAGAGTAGAGTAAGTAGGAGTAGAGTAGGAATAGAATAGAGTAGAGTAAGTAGGAATAAAGTAGAGTAGAGTAAGTAGGAGTAGAGTAGGAGTAGAATAGAGTAGAGTAAGTAGGAATAGAGTAGAGTAAGTAAGAGTAGAGTAGGAATACAGTAGAGTAAGTAGGAGTAGAGTAGGAGTAGAATAGAGTAGAGTAAGTAGGAATAGAGTAGAGTAAGTAAGAGTAGAGTAGGAATACAGTAGAGTAGAGTAAGTAG